ATTTGTGTCCCTTTCACTCTAGGCCCGAGTTGAGCTCGGTGAAGCTCATGTGTGATAATTGGTGATATCAGGATGCGCGCCCTTCATGCCACCCAGCTATGGCCTCCATTTGGCATGCCATTTCTTAGAATCGAGGGGGTGGCTGACGTAGCTATTCAGGTTGACTTGGGCGATACGCAAAGGTTTAAGTTACTCGAGCAAACTACCGTACAGTATGCCGTACTTGTATGCATTCACGCAAGTGGCTTGGCAGTTATGGTTGCTCTGGTAGGAGGCTCCCTCGTCGTATCCATGGATAAATGAGACAGGCGAATTCAGCATATTCCATTCAAGCATCAAAGCAAGGTAGCATACGGTGCTCTTTATAGGAATTAACACTACGTATCCATTTAATTTCTTCAAGTTAAGGTTATACAATACTCAAATATTTTGAGAACGAACCGCCGTATTGCAAAGAGATACATATCATATTATTTGCAAGGTGCGGAATCTGTATGTCTCACCAGTTAGTGTTAGATAGGGATATAGATGCGAAGATTCTTGTTTATTCCCAGGAGCGATCCTGCTAACTAAAAGGACTAACAAGTGTGCGCATCCATAGGTTTGCCTTCAACACAGTCATACACTATCAACAACATATCTAGAGTGGTTTCCCGTACCCTACAACACTCAAGAGCTAGGGGAGTGGGTCAGGTGTCTCTACCCTTCAGGTTTGGAAGCATACGGGTGTAGGAGCGGTGATGCGATATGAGCTGAAAACGTGGAAAGGGTTTCTTCGGGTGAAGGATGGGGCCACCGATGTTCACGGCCATTCGGCCTTTCCTCTCGCTTCCTCCCAGAGTAACCGAAGATGTTCAGGTTGAAGTTGCTAAATACCACAGCTCTTCTGGTGAATGTCCGAGTTATTCCAACATACATGAACCGGATTACAGGGCCCGAGTGATAACCAGTGAGGATACGATATTGAGAGCAACATTCTGGACGGACATTTGTTCACAGTACGCAAAGTGTCTTTATACCCAAGCCCGCGTAGGCGGAAATTGCATCCACGTTAATTCAAAAAGACGGTGAGTGATGCTTGCCGGTGCAGCGCGACTGAGCAACGTGTTTTGAATGCAACTGTCGTCGTATTGTAAGGCTCAAAATCTGGTTTGTGGATTTTTGAAGTCCTGCTAGTTGGTTTACTTTGATTTAAAGAGAGATGTATTTTCGATTTGCTGGGAGCTAAAATGATTGGGTATGTTGGGTGGAGGAAGGGAAAACTTTTCTTTCTGTATGTAGGGAGGTTTTCTCCACCTATCTGCCGAACGAAGTACAGCCACTAGATAAAAGTGTTCGTGATGGTCAGATTAGTCAGCATACCTCGCCAAAGTGTAGGGTAGTTGGCCGTGTTTTTTTTTTTTTTTTTTTGATGCAACCGTACCATCCACCCTCCATGATTCCAAACATTGCCAGGCACGATTCCCTACTGCCGTGATTCTTTACCGCTGCACTCCAATCTTACCAATAATTCAAGTATGATAGTCTTTTGTGACACAATAGTTAACTGATTGGGAAAACAAAAGTATGCTGCCCCCAAAAAGAAACCGCCAAAGACTACGTGAAAGGAAATGACTGCCACAGAAAAAGGCATGATAATTGCCTTTTTCTATTGCTTGCGAAGCATATTTCTGATTGCTAAAATCATCAGTCATCCCTAGTCAACTGTGAAGAGTTTTTTGACCCGTGCATGTGAGTGCTTATCTCTGAAGAACCTTCCCCTGTCCAGTCACCCGCTGTCTTGAGTCAGCAACACTTCACAAGAATTATTCAGGCTGCTAAAGCCAATCAGAAGTTAAACAGAAATGATTTTAGAGATTGCTATACAGCTGGAGTCTCTCTTGCAACCAGTAAGGCTTCTGGCAGGAGTGATAGTTCATGATCGCTCAGCTAATATTAATTGTTTAGTTGATCGAGTACTTAGAGAGATGCCAATTTGAACAAATGGATAGCAAAGTCAAGGCCTAAGCTCAAGCCTGAACACTTTACTAAGAGACATGATAGGCTATGGCTCATAGAGATTGGACTGCTGAGTATCTTGAATGAGTCATATAGAGTGATGAATGCAGTGTAGAGAAGTCAAAAGATCCTAGACAAATTTGGGTATTTAGGGAGCCAGGAGAGAAATGGCTTGCTGAGTGTGTTTACCCTAAGGAGAAGAATAAGGGGGTATCGCTTATGGTATGGGGATGCTTCTGGGGTAAGAATAAAGGCCCTCTTGTTCCTATTACTAGAACCATAAACAAAAACAGGTATATTAGACTACTAAGAAGGCATCTTATTCCTGTTATTCATCAAATGCTTGCTTCTGGTATTTATGATTTCCTTTTTCAACAAGACAATTCTCCTGTGCACAAGGTTTATATTGCAAAGGATTAGCTGGAGGATAACAATATTGATATTATGGAGTACCCTCCTTATTTCCCAGATTTGAATCCTATTAAGCATGCATGGGTAGAGCTTAAAAAGCGTCTATATCAGCAGTATCCTAGGATATCTGATACCCCAGGAGGAAAGGAGGCAGTAAAGAAGAGGTTGGCTGAGGTATTACCTGTAACGTGTTCGCTAGGTGCTAATCACGTTATCGGTAATAGGTATGATAGTTGGCAGGTGGCCTGCTCTTCCAGAGAGGAGGCGAGAGCTGAAAACTAAAGGAGGCTTCGAGGGTGTACTGAGGAACAAAGAAGTAACCATTCAACCAAGTATATTAAAATACTCTCTGTCGAAGTCTGCCTTTTCTATCGTAGAAACAGGCAGTCTTTAAATACAAAATCTGTTCATGCCTAGCATGAACGAAACTAATCAAAGGTATCAATCGATACACTCTGGTAAAACTAATTAAGTATCAAAGCGATACTTAAAACAAAACATAAAACAAAACCAAGTATCAAATGATACTTAAAACAAACCAAGTATCAAAGCGATACTTAAAACAAAACATAAAACAAAACCAATAACCGAGTACCTGTACTGGTTATATTACCTCTGGTCTGGGAGACAATTCCTCCAGAACTTTTTGAAAAACTGTGGAAATCTATGCCAAACAGGGTGGCAGCAGTTCTTGAAGCAAGAGGGGGGTATACCAAGTATTAAATTGTATAGTAGGAGGTTGTTTTTATTTTTTAAATTTTATTCTATAGAATTATCGGACTTGGAGGAGTGGTTGTCAACGATCAACCAGGCTACCCATGGCTGCTCATGGCCGCTTGTGGATGTGGAGTGGCAACCGCAACCGTGAAGCGACAACGCTATCATTTTTAATTTACTTCTACGGTCTAATAATTTGCACTTAGCTACCTACCATTACCTATTGACCGTTCCTCTCCTGGGGAAGTGACAACCCCACTATCGATACCCCGCCGCACAGACATATGGCACCATTCGGCGCAATTAAACATGTCTCGCATCACGAACACTTTTGTCTAGTGGCTGTATAGTAGATAGCAACCAATAACGAACATCGAACTTCACGAAACGCGAATCGAACCGAACAAGTCTTAGTGTGTGAGTGAAATACACCGAGTGATAAGACTTTCCTTCAGAGTGCAAGGACTGGTAAATACGAACTTTACGAATTGATTTTTCTTTCCTTCTTTCTTAGTTTTCTTTTTTTCAAACCTTCTGATTACGACCTTTTCACATCAACTTTCCCGAACCGAATTCTCTCTTTTTTTTTTTCAGTATTGGGGTGGCAAATAACCGACTACGGTTCCTTTGGTTCAGGTCAGGGGAGGCAAGTTAGTCAGCACGAGCACTCGACCCTGCCCAAGGAAGTGTGATCTACTCCAGCAGCACCCCATCCAACCAACCCAACACAACACGACCAACAGTTTGACCCAGGACAACCCCGACTCGGAATCAATTGTAACCCTGGGATTGCAGATACATATTTCGCACACCACCTACACAATACCACTAGCCCAGCCTACAAATGCCCCACATTTAGGATTGCCTCCTCACATCCAAGATGTCACTGCAGCTCTCATCTAAATTGACCTTCCTGTGATACGGCAAACGCCGCCATGCCCAATATAGTTCCCACCTGCTTGGGCAGCATTAATATTTCCTCCCCGCCAATACCGTAGTCGCTCGACCGCCGTCGTCCGAGTCTGCCTCCACCCCGTTGGTTTCCGCCAAATGTGTAGAATCCCCCGGGTATCAGCGGCCCCATTGAGCCGTTCAGCTGCTACGACTGAAGTCAGGTCATAAATCTCCTGGATGGAGCTTCATGCCCCCGCCAGCGTCCAGGAAATCGGAAGGGCATATTTTCGCAAATAGAGATCGAACTCTTCCACGCTTTCCTCGTTACAAGGATCCATCACATATGGGTCGGTACCAAAGCCTTTTCGAAAACGATAGGGGATACAAGGGGTGGGCTAGAATGACCCAGAATTCGTGGAATATTTTTTAGAGTTTATTATGCGACTACATTCACAGACTAGGCAGAACCCTAAATCAGAAACTCCGGCGTAGACCCGCGAAGCGGGGTAAATCTTCGAACCAAGACAGCAATCTGCACGAAAAGCCCGCGCACATTTTGAATAATCTTTTTTAACTAGACTACGCAGGTTCCCGAAGTTTTTGATTTTCTTCTGATTCTACACAGTTTTCGATGTTATAAGGCTTTGGATGGGAGATGAATGGATGTTCCGCGATGGGGAGTTAGCAAAGAGGCAGTGGTGGAATTGCAATAGCATTGGGTTTCTATCTGGCCAAATGGCTGGAGACTCTTCAATATCGGAATCCATCGCATGGGGCAAGCCGTCTAAGTAGCCGGCCAGGCCCTTCGTGGGGATGTGAACGATGCAAAGACCCCCGAACCGCTCACACCAACTCTACTCGAGTACTGTACAGTACTGTACAGACATGCGTAGAATTTTTTCTTTCCTGAACCCCGCTCGTCTCTGAGCGCAGCTGGCAACCGGAGTGCATGAGCCAATAAACAGTAGAATATGCCCTGGAGTATGTGGTCATCATATCAGGTTTCTCACAAAACATTCAACTATCAGCCATTCTCAGGTGTTGCTTTTATCAACTCCGCGTTTCGCGGTACCCATCGCTCGCAGCCACTGCGACGCCCCCCAAAATTACAATAACATTATCCAGCTTCAAACAGCAAACCACCAATCAATACCTGACCGTACTAGCGCTACGGACCACATTATTCCTCCTTTGTCGTGATCCCGGGCCAATCTGTCTCCTGTCAGCACGGGGAAACTATCCAACAATTGGCGTGGTTGGACATGCATAGTTCTGATCTCTCCGAATTTCTTTTCGATACCACAACTTTATCTCCCACATTTAAGGAGACGCCGGAGGCAGGAATATCTATCGGCTTAGTAAATTATGTATCAGCGAACCCATTGGAACCGGGTGGCTCTTACCTGGGAATATCCCGTACCGTCCGAACACCGGGTTGGACTTCGTTCCCGGATCCACTCTTCTATCTTTCATCAGCTTTTCCAAAGGTTGTTTGTCCGCAGGGACTACCCCGCCGGTAGCATAATCGACCTATTTAATCTCCCCGTGAGCGGAGTGCCTGTGATATAATAGAGGGAGTATAAACAGACGTTAATGCCAGTAGATCTCGGACAATTCCCAGTCAAGCTAATCCTCTTGTCACCACCGACGAGGAGTTCTCCCCAAAAATCTTCCTCCCACCGAGTCACTTCCTCCCCATCATCACCCGCGACCACCATGTTTGGGCGAAATTTAGTAACATCCATTTCCTCCCCAATCATATCGTTCACACATTTAAGAGAGGCCATATTGGTGATCATTATTGGCGCGCAATCAGCGAACGATATTTCGACCTTCTTCCTTTGCGTTGTCTGGGCACCCGTTGTGGAATCAGTTGTTGTGCCTGGCTGCTCCAGAGGTGCAATGCTTCCTACGGCCAGCCTGTGTGATGAACCTAGATATACCAGCCTCGTGCGAAAGCCAAGACATGCCGAAAAAAACTCCGAAAACCCATCCCCCATATCGTACCCCATGCACGCTGAGCTATGCATTACTATCTCCCTCGTCACAAGTCCAGACGTATCCGGTCGGAGGGGAATACGCAGTTCCTTGCTCTCTCCATTGGGCGGGGAGTGCCTGACTATCAGTACATTTTCGCCCGGGCCGCCGAAGGAAGTATGAAATAGGGATAGCTGGGGGAAATGCGCAATGTGCATGAACTTGTAGATGTCCCCATCCTGCTTCTGTAGCAGGAATACCCGGTCATGTTCCGGTCCGATGGCGGTGACCTTCGCCGATTGCACAGAAATCGGACGAAGTGACTTTACCGGGTGGACGTATAAAGCGTGGATGTGCATCGTGATTTTGATTTTGACTTTCTTGAATTCCAGTTCTCTGTCTTCCCCCTTTTTCCCATTAAGCGGATTCTGTTGCGGGAGGGGAAAAGGGTGTTATCAAGGCTTGATGATAGGGTGCCAAGCACCACATCCTCCCTCTTCGGCACGGTATCGACGAGGTCACACTGCTGAGTTTTGTGGGGTAAGAGCATCATCACCTGGCAACGCGCGATCTTGGAAGAAACGCAACACCAATCGGGCGACCCGAGTATCACTGCTCCGTGGGGGTTGCACTACTCAAGTACCGTACCGAATAAGTAAGATCGGGATTCAGATGCATCGCCCTCACACGAGCAGAGACCGAGTCCTATCCACTCACACCACCGAGCCTGGCTTCCCCCTGAAGCACACCCTGCTCTTGGGGCCTTCTGGGCCCTCCCTATCTCGGGTTTGGGGAGAATGATTCACCCGAAAGCTAGCCTCGTGGTCAGGGGATTGACGGACATAATCTTCAGGAATCTAATGAAAATTGTGGTAGGAAGCGAGCTTGCCGCGCTGAAGGTGAGAGGGTTATCTTGGTGATGTCAACTCTAGTATGCATAGTAAATTATCCCACGAGAAAACCACCCTTTCTTGATCGCGCGTCAATAGTAAATACTCGAGTACTATCTTTAAGTGCCCCGCATTCTTGAAACCTGATATTTTTTCTCCATTCATTTTTTAATAATCAACCTAGGATTTGAGCTTCAAATTCCACCTCAAAACATACCCCACTAGCTCTTGTTATAATACTACCTAAGAAGCATTCAAAGACAAGACACTTTTTAGGCGGGTATATAACCGCCTAGGTGGGGAGGGACGATTTTCGGGTATCCTCCCTAAACTCTTTATAGAGACCGTCTTAGCCTAGTGAACCGTGCCCCGGACCTGCCAAACCCTCCTAATACAGCATTATTTAGCAAGAGTCGCTTGCCTCTACGATAGTATGATACGTTGAAATAAAAGTTTTCTTTTTATTCTGTCAAATTCGCGACAAAACGCCTTCACTTAACCTTCTATGGTCAAAACTAGGCCTATTGGGGACCCTTCATAACTGCACTCGAGCATTGGATGTTTTATTTCAGCCTCTACTCTACGAGTATTTCAAGGTAACTTTACCAGCGCTAGGCGAATCTTGCTAAATAATGCGGCACTTCTGTGACAGTGTTGCATCCAGTTATCCCACTTACCGGTATTCCAAACAGAGATAAAACTACTCGTACGCTATTGACACCATAGCTCCGTGTGTTAGAGGGGCCTCTGGACGGTCTATTTTTTTTTTCTTGCCCAAGAGAATCGGTTGCATAGTGATTGTTTTATTGTGCCCGGGTATGTGGAATGTTGTTTTTTTCCCAGATATTGCTCACGATCCTCCACTTGCCATGGTCTAATAGGAGATTCCTGGGTGACACCATCAAGTTCGCTATCAGTAGCCCTAACGGTATTAGCCGCCGGGGTAACTATCCGAGCAGAGATAAGTTAAACACGCTGCACGTTACGCACAGATCCACCTTAGTGTTCTACATTTGACAACCAGGTACTGTACAAGTACCGGTAACTGCGAGTGCGCCACAGTGGATAAACAGGTACTGTACTCGAGTACCGTAACTACTCAGGAGATAGAGACCGTTGCCAAGGATGACGCTGGCAGGACTATCCAGTTTAGGAGCTTGACAGAGGACCCAAAAACAACATCAGCTCAATCACGGGAGTACCAGTAAACATGCAAAATCACTTACCAAACTGAAAGTTCAAACTAAAAACAATCCACCGAAGGATCTTTATCCACAATGCCAGCTGTTCGAAGGCCCTTGGGAAGGCTGAAAGAAAATGACCTAAGTGAATGAAGGGCATGACACAGGGGTCCAAAGCCGAAATCTCTTGAGGTGCATGATGTAACGCCATGGGTAAGGAGTATGTTCCACAGCATATTAAGTACAATACTAAAGTATCGAGATGCAGATTAAACCTTGTCAGCGAGTAGAACGAAGTTATACATGACAGAGAAAGATTGAGGTACTGAGTTGGATTAAGTACTATCGTGTACCCAACTCCATGCCAAATACAGCAATAAGGATGAGGCCTCCAACACTTGATGAAGCGTCATCCTTTTTTCAGATACCAAGAAGCACAATTGCGCGATGGAGAAACCCTGAAAATACGCAAAAGATTATTGAGCAAGTTGGTGGTGATCGCTCATATCGTGACGCGTCAATGGTTTTCAATTGCCAATGGCCCGAGATGGTGAAAAAACTATTTGATGCTTTTCTAAAGCGAAGAGGCAAGGGGAGGCCTGTAAGAGATGGATGGTTTCGGAGAAAAGCAAAAGAGCTATGGGAAAGCTCTTACCCAGAGCTTCCCTCAGAACTGTTTGTGTTTTCAGTAGGATGGTTTTTGGGATTCTTATCACGGCACTGAGTTGTTTTACGATTTGTGACCAATACAGCTCAGTCACTACCAGCCAACTATAAGGAACAAATTCTGCATTGGTTAAGATTCAATCAACGGAATAGGATACTCACCCCCCTATCGCAAACCACTTTCGATCAGCTACCAAATCCACTTTCCCTAGATTATATCTGTAACCATGATCAAGGTGGAATTCCCAAGCATCGCATTTGTAATGTGGATGAAACACCACTCCCCTGGGAGTATCTGATTGGAAGGACATACGAGCTGCAGGGTGCAAAAACTGTTTGGTCAAAGAGTGCTGAATCTGGCTCTGAAAAGCGCCAATGTATCCTGTTTCTTTATATTTTTGCGGATGGAGTACCTCGAGTTCCTCCTATTCTAATTTTTCCTGCATCCAGTGGATCAAGAATACGGCAACGTGAATCACATCTCTGGGACAAACGAGTTCATGTGGAGTTTTCTCCTACCGGTTGGATGAATGAAACTTTGTTCACCCAATTTATTCTACAGTTTTTAGTTCCGCTCTTTGGAAGCCAGCGGGCATTATTTATTTTTGATTGATATCGTGCACATCTTACATCCCAAGTTCTTCAAACTTGCCGCGATAAGAACATTACACCCTCTCTGATCCCGGCTGGTACAACACCAATGACTCAACCCCTTGATATCTCACTGAATAAGCTCTTTAAGGGCCTGATTAAGGAATTTACAGAGGAAATTCGTGAGAAAAAAGAACAGCTGGAGGATATTGAAAAGTGGACTGTTAGTCAACACCGGGTAGTAACTACGGAGGCAGTTGGAAGGGCATGGGAGGAGTGGCACCAGAGTCATTCACGGCGAAAGATTATCATTCAAAGCTTTTGGAGTACTGGGATTGCCTTACCGGTTGATGGATCCTCCGATTCTGAACTTAGCATTAAAGGCTTTGCACCTGGTGAGCTTATAGTAGGTGATTGGACACGTTCTGAGCCAGTCGATGTGATTGGTTTGGGAACTTCAGAAAACGAGAATCTGGAATTTATGGCTCCCAGCTCCACAGCCCAGGATGAAGCTGTTGAATTTACTCTCATAGACAAATAGTTTTTAGAGTTTTGATATGTCTTGGTTTTTTTTTTTTTTTTCCTGTACTATATGAGGTATAGTTTGATGGTGATCATATACGCAATCCTCTTGGCAACGGTCTCTATCTCCAGAGTGGTTACGGTACAGTACAGTAGACGAGACAACGTCTCGGGTAGCTTATATTGGGTCAATTACTCCAAACCCTGATCGACGAAGGCCGTAGAACTGCCGACGTTGGCGAGAAATGGGGGATGTGGGCCCTACTACGATACCATCTACCCACGGTATTTTATTTCTCCTCCGACCCAACCAAAGCATTTCGATCCCGCACGGTAATTTATGATAGCGCTGGGGCCGGCAGAATGCAGTACTGTGTTTCCAAAGGAGCAATACTTGTACTCGGCTTCAAACAAAGCGTCCATTCAATTTCCGTATAACTTATAGTTCAACCGCCGGAGAGCGGTGATCTTTGGACGAATCACATCGGCCGCCCTACGCGCAGGGAGTTTCCCGCTCGCGGGGAATGCCCATCGGCACCACCGTCAACTATCATACTTGTAGTTAACCCCCTACTGAAGGGATGAATAGATGCTTGTGAACCAACGTGGCTCACCTACCGGGGGGGGTTAGCTCTCCCAACGGGTGCTGATCCATGGAAATTCTGGTCTGCACGTCACAGCTGCCAGTCGCGATACTACTATCATGTGTCTCAGTGGAAGTAAGGAGAGCAGCTCAATTATTCATCCCCCCGTAAAATTGAATACCAGGCCACCAACAGAGCAGAGTTCAAGTGCAGCACGTTTTAACGCCTGTCAGAACAAAAAGAGTGGTGTCTCTAGACCAGCGTCTCCGAGGACTCAGCCCGTCCAGCTTGGAGATTGAACGAGGAGGAGTTACAATAGGCAATAGTGTGTTTTTTTGCCCTCTCCCGGCCCCCGAACGCCCAACGCCCGAGAGATGTATCATACACTACTGTTAGCCCCGGCCTCACAAAACGCAGTAAACCCTCCCGGAGGAGCCACCCGTCCCCGTCACTATCGCCACACCTTATCTTGCATAGCCGAAATTATATAGTCTATGTCCATCATGGGGAATCTGTATTGTGAGTGTAAATTCGCTCGCGTAGTGCTTTATACATCCCGCTTCTCTCGATAATGACCCCCCATCCGTTTTTGGGAAGATTGGACTAATTTCATATCCCGAGGAAATTCCCTTAGACTACCGAGTTGCGCAATACGCACGCAGGAGATTACTTCCCATAAATTAGCGGATAGATCCCCAACCTCTGACTCTTCCCAGTGGACGCGTTTACCAAACTTTGAGACTTTCTACTCCCAAATTCACTCTTAAATTCACTCCGCCTATTGCTTCAGGCCTCAGGATAAATATCAGCATAGCTGAAACCCCGAAACCTCACCGATACACTTCTTCTGGATCTCCACCCATCCTGCTTCTTCCCCGGGACTCCCCTGTCGCAGCCCTCACCCCACAGCTGAAAGCCTTTCCCTGACGTGGCAGTTCCCGTAGCCCGGCTCAAGGAGGGCTATTCTGAGACGCGACCACCACAGGCGGATGGAGGGTAACCTTGTGGCCCTGTTCTGGACTCCCGGTAGTCCCGCTGTCGGGTTCAGGGGGC